AACCATTGGCAAGGTTCGAGGGGTTTGAGGGGTTTGAGGGGTTTAAGTTTGAGGGGTTTGAGGGGTTTAAGGGGTTTGAGGGGTTTGAGGCGTTTGAAGGGCAGTTTCGGGCGACTAGAAAAAAAGGATTTGGCGCGCCAGAGCCCCGAGCCCACAGTGTCGCAAGTGCGAGGTATTGGAGGGCTGCTCCAACGGCCAGTATGGCCAGAGCAACTCCGCCCACAGTCTCGTACAGAGCCGGCTGCTCCAGCTGAGAGACTCTATAAACGATTTATGCAACTGTGAGGCTCTATAGTTCAATTTGGCCTTTGGCAAGACCATTGCTCAGCTACCAATGACCAGAAAAGACAACTGACCAAGTGTGAAACTTCAACAAAAGGATCAGCTCTGTTGTTACCGACCCCCATGCGACTGTTCTGTTTCTGGTGGAGCCCTCAATGGGGGAACGCTTGAGCCTTCTAGATAGATATAAACAAGTATCTTGTTGGAAAAATATGTATGTATATACACATATTAAAACAAAACATGCCTATTCCGGTGTTCTGTGCACTGCATTTCGGAAACGGATGTTGCACACACATCGCATGCTCACACTCCCTCAGCGTGGGCAAACCTGCCACTCTTTTTACTGCGTCAACCAGTGTCGTCCGCACCACTCAAGGGTTGCAGCCAGCGTGTAGTGCTCCAAAACACGAACGGACATGGTGCGGGGGTGAGTGTGGGCTGCAAGCCTTTTAACTCTCCCTATGAGGTCCTCATCGAGAACGCAACAGCAGTGCCTAGGGTTGCGGTAAACGCCTAGATCGAAGATCAAATGCTCTAGCTGATGTTGCTTTGGCAGGAGTGGCCACAATAGTCTCCCACCACTCAAGGCATCTGCTGCCAGCCCTTATTTTGACAAATCTTTAAAGAGCAAAATGTGTATTGTTTCCTTTGAAAACGAAAAAAGGTAGAGGAGAAAACACAGGCAAGAATCAGTTGTAGGATCTTCTGAAGACAAGGTAAGCCTCAACCAGTGCCCAAGCTGGATGGTTCTCTGAATGCCAATCTGAAGGCCAGAACTTCCTGGTAACATGGTTTCCGAAAACACTTAACCTGTGCATAGTAAGCAGTTGGGTTTTGTGAAGGATCTCCGTGCACCACAAAATAAAACTATATCTAACCGGTCAGAGGCGCCCATGTTCTGCCATGGTGGTGTACATTGAGCACAGGGAGAGAAAGACATTGAACCGGTGCCTTCAGTGCAGATTGCAACCATTGTTTTCCCATAAAAGGTTCCGACAAAGAACGAACCGCACCATTAAAAAGGTTTGTTGCTGCTGAAATGCTTGGACGCGGGTTTCTCATCCACAGCCGTTCGTGCAACTCCACACATGAAGTAGATCATCATTCGAGATGCTACCGCCTTCAAATATTTCTGGGAGACACTGCAGTATTGAGCAGTTCCACCGCCACACAGCACTTTCGTAGTGAACAACTTGTGCGATGCCCTTGCAGAGTGTGGGATACCTGGCCCAGGCCCAAAACCATGACTTGTTAGTTGGAATCAAAAAATCAAACAAACCACTACTTAAGCTAGCCACGTTTAGCGAGTGCTGTGAGCATGCAATGCGCTGAGCGGCCGTTGTCTGCACACCACTGCTCGTATTGGTGAAGGAGATCAGCTAGTTGCTTGTCTCTTGAAAGTGCACGTGACGGTTCCGACAACTCCAAAAGTGTAGATGTGATGGCGTCACAGCAAATCTGGAGGTCACAGATGTGCATGAGGTCAGGGAATACCCCTAAGTTCACCAAATAAGGAGTTCCACCCTCCCACCAAAAACTGAGATCAACATGTCTCTAAACAAGCAAGTAGCTGTACGGAGTAAATCCTGGGATCCGTGTGAGAGTGGCTTCTCCGTGAACCGCTATCCATTCCTCTCTGCTCTTGATGATCCTGAGTTTTGAAAGGTTCGATTCTGGGCATACAAAGGGACAACTCATAGATGGACCCCCACATTAACCAACCAAGGTTCGTCCCCCTGTGAGCGGCAGAGGCCCCAAAAGCCGTGAATAACATCCCTTCACTCTCACCGGGCAGGACAGACCGAAGAGCGCTGCAGTACTGGCACATATGCCTTCTGGAGCTGTGCCAGCTTCCTAGCTGGAAGGGTGGACGCTTGGCTGACATGAGTACAAAAACAATGAATCCCAAAAAAGACAAATTATTTTTCATCCAGGGGTCTCTTGAAAGACAGCAGCTTATGCAGAAAATCCTGATCTCCTTGCAAGCCGTCCAGAACCCCTCTAAATCCTGCAGCCAGCTCTTGGCCAGCTAGGGAGTACCATCGGGGGTGGTGTTCTTGAGAGAACTCACGCCCCCAAGCATCATGGGTAGGAAATCTGCCTGCACCTCAGATGTGATTGGGGAACAGAGGTTTCACGTCCGGTTTTTGGCAAACAGTGTGCGCAAAGTACTCCTGGATGTGAAGCCATTCAAATGTGAGCTGGGGCGCAGAGCGCTTCGAAAGACCACACCAAAAGCTCCGCAATCTTGTGACGGACAGTGGCCTCTGTGTACATGGTGTTCCTCACAGACAACCTGGCAGGTGAACCCTAAGCAACTGCACAACAGGTGGCCGTTTTCCAGATAGAACAATTGGGTTTACCAAGGGACACTATTCTGGTCCTCATGGAAGTTGAGCGGCGACTTGAAACAGCAATGAGGGACAGCGTCTCAAAGTTTTGATGCCCTCGACGCAGTGAAACGGAAAACCGTCTTTCCTTTCCCCCTGTGGTTTTGCAACATGAAAAAACTATGTTTCTCACAGAGAAGAGAAGGCGCCTAAAACGTCAGCGCCATCACCGTAAAGGCGTAGAGGCACACATCGGTCAAGGTTGACACCGGGCCCCCAAAGAGAAGACATCTTCTCCGCTAGGTCCTGATTGTGCTCCCAATATTGCGAGAGAGCCTCACACAAAGATCGATGAATCAATCATCCCACTCCAAAGTTTGATACAATTTGGGAAATGGCTCAGGCCAACCCTGCAAGTAATCAAGAATAACATATCAAGAATTTGGGGACCAAGACCATTTCCAAGCTTGCAGCGCACAGGAAAACTTACAAAGCGAAGCTTGGCAGCATCCGGTGGGCCTGTCAACAGGGAATAGAACAGCTCGCCGTTGTTGAAGTGGTAGAAGGCTGAGAAAATCTCATGAGGAAGTAGAAGGCCGACTCGTACAGTCTTCTGTTTCGCTGTGACTGGTGCATTCGCCTGAGCCAGGCAAAAGATCGTCCGAGAAACACCAAAAATATACAAGGTCCATCCAAGTGACACGATCAACTTCAAACCTCAGGGGGCTGATACAATTTCTCTACATTCCATGAGTTAGAACTCTAAAGAACTGAGACTTGAACTCATATATGGGAGGAAGACATTTCCGCCAAGGTTGTCGATTCAACCATGCCCCAAAAGTTCTCTCAAGAGCCCATCCTTTGGATGACTCCAAGCGCTCAGCCAGCTCCAGGATGCTGGGCCTTAACGGGGGCCAACTCATCAGCATGTGTTTTTGGACTGTGAGATCCTTGCATGGAAGTAGCGGGACAAGGTAGTAGGGAACATGCAGCAAGTTGGTGACCATCTCACAGATCTTCTTCATACTCTCCTGTTGGGCAAGTACACCTTTTACATCATTATGTGATGTGTCTTTTGTAGTGTCCTAATTCTTTTGGAGCCCGCACCTCACCAGACATGAAGGAGTCAATGAGTCTCTCAACGATCTTGGCAACCCCTCGTGAGGATCGCTTGGAAGCCATGATTGCCTGTACCGAATCGAGCTTTGGCGTTTTTAAGAGAGGTCGTGGGGTGGGAGATGGGTTTCACCATGAAAGGAAGACGTCCAAACTTTCAAGACTTCAAGACAGACTGAAACAATTTCTTGAAATCTTTTCCTTCTTTTGCACACTCCAAGCTCCAGAGTAGAGTGTGGATCTATTTCCCACACACCACCTACGCCGCTGGCCCTGGCACTTGCAGCGCCGCACTATGCGTAAATGGTCTGCCAACCCCTCGTAAGCCAAATGCTTAGTAGCCATATCCTGCTGCCGCCTGCAACGGGAGGCCATGAAAAATCACGAAAAACAACCTCCAGACCCACCTGCTCGCACCACGCCGCCCACTCTTCATCACTGTGTTCTTTGATCTTTTTTTCCCGCTTGTCGGCCCCTCGGAGAGGCCAAGATCGAACGTTTGTACTGGTCGATGTTTTTTGCTTTTCCGGGCTCAGGATTGGACTCCGCTTCAAAGTCTTCAAGAGCGACTTCAGGGATTCGATCTTGTCGTCCCGTTTCTGCAAGAAGGAGGCGGTAGCGGTTGCGCAGGGCAAGAGTGTACAATGGAAGCATTACATATAGTGCAAAGAACAAAAAGAACTGGTATTAAGTCTTGGAGTCCTCCACGGTGTTCTTGTGATTGGCCATGTAATCAGCAATGATGTCAGAGTTCTTAGACCCATGCACCATAGATTTCTCCATCCTGCGGCGCACAAGTGAAAACACATCAAACACATGGGGAATCAGGAGGCCTTTCCGCCATCTTGTTGAGGTCATTGTGCCACAACTTGCAATCTGCACGGGCTTCCTGCACAGATCATTTCACCCCAACAGC